TATTAGCCTTGCAGGCAAGTTTCCGCGGTATGTTATATTTAATTATTAATAAAAAGTTTATAGTAGGTTTAAAATAACTATATTATATTAACTAATAATATTATAAGATTTTTTTAGATTATAAAGCTAAACCCTTTAATAGCTTAAATATTATCCTAGCCAGGGACTTTTACTAGCTGCCTTTAGTTAGTTAAAGCCCTTTTTTTAAGGCCATGTTTTTATTTATAAATAAAAAGGAGAAGGCTAGTTAGTATTTATATAATTAATTTAATTTTATTATTAAGCTAAATATTATTTATTACTAGACTATAAGCTTTTAAATAACTTATGTATTTATTCTTGCGTTAAAGTGCTTAAAAAAAAATATTATTATAATAAAAAACTAGGAGCTTTTTATAATATAAGTATAGGCTAAGTTACCTACAAGTAAAAGTAATACCTTTATAAATATAATTTATATATATAAAAAAAAAATAATATATACTAGTATAATTATAATTATATATTAAACTTTAATAAGCCTATAATTATTTTATAAGTTAATTATATTAAATCTAGTACTATAACTATAAAAATAAACCAGGCTAAAAACCTAGCTAAAAAGCTTATAGTTTTTTTTAGCTATTATATTATGCTAATATAAAATATTTAAATAAAAAAGGGTCTTGTAAATAGCGCTATAAGCATGTTAGTAAATATTATATAATTATTAAAAACTATAAATCCTACCTAGAAGGTATTACTTACTTTAATAATAGCTTTTAATTAATATAATAATTTACATGCTAAAAAAAATAATAGCTATAACATGGTGCTAATTTTTTATATAAAATAAGACTTTTATTACTACAGCGCTATTTATACTTATATATAGTTTTTAATTATACTAATATATATAATAATAATTTATAAGGCTTAGGGGGTTATTATTAAGTAGGCTATTTTAAACCTTATTATATATAAAAAGTTTTTACTAGGTTTTATATACATAGCTATATTATGTGTATAGTTACTTAAAAAACTATTATTTAAAAAATTTTTTAGCTATAACTAGTTAGTTAGCAGCCTGTTTAATACTAAAAAATAAAGGCGTAAAAATAGTTATTTAAGGCACTATTAATATATATTTATTATAATTATAAATAATATTTCTTGCTACAAGAGTAATAATAATATAGGTATAAATTTAAAAATAAAATAATAATTTAAACTTACTTTATTAACTAGGGTCCGGCCCTATAAATACTAATTATTTTTTAATAACTTTTTATTAAAATTATTTAATAAACCAGGGAACTTATCCCTACCTTTTTTTTTTTACTAGTAAACCTACTTTTTTTATAAACTTAACTATAATATTAAAATATATTTTAGTAAATGCCTTTTAGGCGGCGGCGGACACGTTTTTTTAAGTAGCTATTATATTAAATAAGTTATAAAGCTACTTAGCGCGGCTATAGGTTTATAATTAAGCTAAGATTAATATTTAGGTAAATACTTAATTATTTATTAAATAGTATTATAATTACTTTATAGCACGGCTATTATTTTTTTTTTTTTTTATTTTTATATATTTCTTTTTTTATAGCACGGGCGGCGGCGGCGGCGTTTTTAATATTAATTTTTAAATTATTATAATTAGTTACTAGCTTCGCGGACTATTAATTAGGGTACTTATTATAATAATTATAATATTTACCTTTTAAGGTATAATAGTAATTAGCGCAGGTGCTAGATAGTAACCTATTAATAATAATATAATTTATAAATAGTTTGTTTTTTTCCATGCACTAAATATAGGGTGTAAAAGGGTGCTTTTTAATAATTTATATTATAATTACCTTTATATTACTAGGTAATATAAAGGTGGCCTTTAGGCGCTTAACCTATAACTTTAGTTTTTATATTAGTAGTATTTTAGCTAGTGCTTGCTAGTAATAGTTACTTATAATTTTAATATAATTTATAATATATTACACGGCTAGTATGCCGGGTAATAATTTTATAATAAAGTATAAAAATATAATAAATAATATAATTATAAATTATTTTTTATAATAATATATTAAAAAAATAATATAATTAGGTTTAATTTTAAAAGGTGGCCATGTTAATATATAGCTTAATATTATAAAGTTAAGTTTTAGGTAT